TTTTTTTTTTTCTTTTCATGCTCACTGTTTGTGACTTTTTTCAGATGTCTCTTTTATATCTCTTATTTAGCTGTTCTTTTCAGCTACCCTCTCAACATATCAGAAGGAAATAAACCCATCTATACAACAGAAAGAAAAGTTACATTTAATGCTACTGAAAGGTGTACTTATGCTAGTTTTCACCTCCAGCCTACCTCATCTGGCACCACCAATCACCACTGCATGACACTGCCTCTTAGAACAAACCCTGACTTTGTTCCCTGAAAGCTTTGATTGGTAAAAGCATAATCCATGGAGAAGTGTGCAAAGTGCTCCTGTGGGAGAGTCATGTCGTGCTGTGTTTCTAGTGATGCTGACAGAGTTTCCTTACAGATAATGAGAAATGTGTCACAGAGGCTATTGGTTGACTGAAAACCTTTTTACTTGACAGCAAAGAAGAGTATCTGGGCTTTGAGGTGCCATTTGGCTCAGATCTGTCAAATAAAAATATAGTCAGTGAGCGTGTCTCTATCCCCTTCCACTACAAGAAGTGGAAAGCAGCTTCCACAGAGGTCTCATCCTTTCCTGCACCCCATGAAAGATTAGGATTGTCAAATTGAACAGAAGACTCATAAACTAGCAAAGAATACACTTAATTGGGAAGATTTATAGGCTTGTTAGCTGGAACGTTTCTTAATTTAAAATGTCATTGTATTCCCTGAAGGAAGACATTACTTCTTGTTGAAGCCTTAATTGGAAGGGGCTAATTTTCAGTGCTGGGACTACTACTACTACTAATAAAAACCCCCTTCAATCTCAAACAGAAAGAGAGCTATTTAAATTTCACAAGCTGTAAAAGTGTCAGTAACACTGTTTTTAGCTTTCTCTCCTGAGAGAGAGGAGGAGGCTAAAAGGTGAACAGTAGCACTGGGCAGTAGTGAGAGGGTGTTTTCTTCAAATGTTTTTGCCTAGAGGTGATTTAGAAATGTCATAACTATTTTTTTTCCTTAAATTACACTGTGATACTAATGGTCTCATACTGAAATTGCTTCAAATAGGTATGTCTTGATAGGATGCAGTTCTAATGCTTACAGGCTGGGTAAAGTCGAGACATCTTTCTGGAAATGTAATTGTGTATTTGTATGAAGAATAATGACTAGGATTATTTTTTTTTAAATGTTTTCAAATATCACCAGAGGTCAATGTCTGCAACTGGGTCACGTCAATGGAAGTGCTTTTAATGCCCTGTATCTCTTTGGATGGTATAATGGACTGCTGTTCCATATTTTTTCCAATAAGCTTTCTGAATACTGTATTTTCTAACTTATTTTAGGCCTTGTTTCTATCTTCTGTATTAGGAAAGAGCTATATTTCTCATTATGCAGAGATTTGCAACTGCAGAGATGATGTAAAAAACATCTAAAGTTCTTCTGTTGCTTTGGACTGGGACAGCACATAGGAAGCAGCCAGCCAGCCAGCCAACAGTGATGGTGTATAGAACAGCCCTCTGGATAGAAAGCATGAGGCTACTCTGTGCTACTTCAGTCTGACTGGTGGGACTGTTGCTGGTGCAGAGCTTCCTGGTGAACATGTTCAGGTTCTGCAGACTGTGGCCACCAGTGGAGATTGAAAGAGCTCTCCACAATTCCCAATATCAGGAGAATGGGAATCTGGAAACCATCCTTCCTATTGGGTTCACACTGGCCCAAATGAGAAGTGAGCGCATGGGAACCTCATGAGGTTCAACAAGGCCAAGTGCAAAGTGCTGGACCTGGGTCAAGGCACTCCTCAGTATCAGTAGAGTCTGAAGACCAGCACTGTGTAGAGGGACTTGGGGTTACTGGCAGATGAAGTGCTAGACATGAACCATCAATGTGCTCTCGCAGCCCAGAAAGCCAACCATATCCTGGACTGCACCAAAAGAAGTGTGTACAGCAGGTCTAGGGTGGTGATTCTGCCCCTCTACTCCATTCTGGTGAGATCCGACCTTGAGTCCTTATCACAGGAAAGACATATTAGAGTGGGTCCAGAGGAGGGCTATGAAGATGATCAGGGGGATGGGAATCAGGGCAATGGAACAAATCTCCTATAAGGAAAGGCTGAGAGAATTGAGGTTGTTCAGCATTGAGAAAAGAAGGCTCCAGGGAGACATTCTTTTGGTTTTCAATAATTAAAGTGGTCTTATAAGAAAGATGGGAACAAACTTTTTAGTAGGGCCTGTAACAATAGGACAAGATGTAATTGTTGTAAACTACAAGAGAGTAGAATTAGACTGGTTATAAGGAAGAAATGTATTTTACACTGAGGGTGGTGAAACACTGGAACAGGTTGCCCAGAGAGGTGGTAGGTGGGCTCTGGGCAACCCAGTCTAACAGAAAAAGGTCCCTGCTCATTTCAGGGGGGTTGTACTAGGTTACCTCGTTGGTCAATAGTACAGGCTTCTCAGGGAAGTGGTCATGGCACCAAGCCTGTCAGAATTCAAGGAGTGATAATTCTCTTACCTACATGGTTTAGTTTTAGGTAGTCCTGCAAGGAACAGGGAGTTGGACTCTCATCCTTACGGGTCCCTTCAAACTCAAGAGATTTTATGACTCTGTGCTCATGTGCAGTGTGTGCTTCCCTCTATCTTTCAAATTTTTGGGGGATTGGTGTGTGTGGTTTTTTTTGTTTTTATGTTGCTTTTATGTTGTTGTTTTGGATGTGCCTTATGACCTCTGTCACTGAATTGCCTCAGTGAATGACTTTCCCATAAGAAGGAGCAGACATAGGATATTGTTTCTCTTTCCTTTCTCTAGAAACAAATTCTTGTTAATTGTCTAGGACTTCCTACTATCTCAGTAGCACAGACGGGCACTAGTTTCTGTAACTTCTTTGTAACACTGATTAAGCAATAAGACACAACTTTAGAGGTCTCTCTGTGCATGAGAATGTAAGGTGGCAAAAGATGTTCAGTAAAGTATCATAAGTCTAAAGATTCACTTTCTGGACCTTCCTATGACTGGAAGTGGCAGATAGGGTTAAATGTGCTCCAGTCCTGCCAGCAGCTGCTGCCTGCCCAAGCTGAGTGGCACATGGGAGCTGTGGCAGTCAGGGATCACCAGGGATGCAAAGGAGGATCTTGAATGGGAACAAGGCAGAGAGTGATAGTGAGAGATTTCCATGGCAACAAGGTGTCTGACTATGGGTCATCTGTGACTCCAGAGCAGAAATAACTCCTTGAGCATTCTGTAAATAAATACATGCCTGGAGCTTGATCCTTCACTTATTCAGACTTGTGTGGTTGCTTTTGATATGACTCATGATGTGAACATGTAGCTTGTGGAGAAAGAAAAAATAATTTGCAGTTCCCTGGTGGTTTTTTATGTTTTTAGAAAATCTGTCTCTTTTTAATGGACATTGCCTTTTTTTTTTTTTTTTACTATATAAACCATCTTGTCCGGGAGCTGCTTTATGCTAATGATGCCGCCTTTGTTGCCCACACAGAAGCAGTTCTGCAGTGTTTAACATCCTGCTTTGCTGATGCTGCTGAGCTCTTTGGGCTGGAAGTCAGCTTGAAGAAGACAGAGGTTCTCCATCAACCTGCCCCTCAGGAAGTCTTCCATCATCCCCATATCACCACTGGCCAATCAGAGCTCAAATCAGTCTAGCAGTTTAATTACCTTGGTAGCCTCATCTCCTTGGACAGTAAGATTGACGGAGAGATAGACAACAGGTTAGCAAAGGCATATAGTGCTTTTGGAAAACTCCATAGAAGAGTATGGCGTAATAAACACCTGAAGAAAAGTACAAAGATCAGTGTTTACAGAGCCATAGTACTGTCTACTCTTATACAGATCTGAATCATGGGTCATCTACCGCCACCACCTGCGTCTCCTAGAACGCTTCCATCAATGCTGCCTCCGTACAATCCTAAACATCCACTGGTCAGATTATGTGACCAATACATCTGTTCTAGAACAAGCAGCAGTCACAAGTATTGAGGCCATGTTGCTGAGAACACAGCTGCGCTGGGCAGGGCACGTCTCCAGGATGAAGGACCACCGCCTCCCTAAGATCTTGCTTTATGGTGAACTTACCACTGGCTGCCACAAGAGAGGAGCCCCAAAGAGAAGATACAAGGACTCCCTGAAAAAACATCTCAACCTTGGCCATATTGATCACCATAACTGGTCTACTCTGGCCTCCAATCGGGAGGTCTGGAGACACACCGTCTATAACGCTGCTGCTTCCTTTGAGAATGCACGCAGGATCACTCTTGAGGAGAAAAGACAACACAGAAAGAATCATGTCTTTCAGAATTTACCACCTAAGGAGTCTTTCTGCTGTGCCTTTTGCAACCGGACGTGTCTATCTCGTATTGGCCTTTTTAGCCACCAACGCGTTTGCAACAAGCGTGGGTAGTGCCCTTCCCAAATCTTCGTTGGCAAAACCCAACCATGATGATGATGATGATGATATAAACCCAAGTTCCTGAAAATATAATTTGTCACATAGAGGTTTATTTTATGAGGTCTGCCATATCTATTATGAAAATCTTCCATAACTTGCAGTTCATAAGAGCAAAGGTGGAAGAATCTCAAATCAAATGCCTTTGATTCAAAATTTCAGTCTTCTGGTCAGCATTCCCAAAGTAGAATTCTATTTTGCACATTGTGTGATGCTTTTAAAAAAATCCTAGGCTTGACTACTTAGAATTAGAATGACTCTGTGTTTGAGCTAACTTCAGTGTTTTGAAATAAAGGTAGAAAAATTACTATGAAGTGATGCTGAAAGGTCAAACCAGCTGGAGTGCATAAAGCCATAAGTGCCTGATTAAAAAAAAGTGTCAGAGGGAAAAAAGGAAAAAATCCTACCTAATTCTCTTTTCCGTGCTTATACTCAAGGTGGCTTTTAACTAACTTGTGACATCATCTTTTCATGGCAAACATTTTCTAAGCTTTTTGTTGTCATAAATAGTATCCATTAGCATCATCCTTTTGGTTTCCTTAGCAACTGAGACAATCAATTCAATGACAGTTTCATCAGAACAGCAAAGCACCAGCTTCCAGAATTATGGACAGAAGTACAAAAAGCAGGTAGGCTGGAATCTATTTGTCTGCAGACCAGCTTTATTTCTTTCTCTCTTCCTTTCTATTTTATGAGTTGCAAGCCTTCAATCACAAATTAAGCACAAATCTCTTCAAATAGTGCTGTGTTTGTGCATCAGTGATGCTTGATGCTGACTCTAAAGGATTCTCAGATCCACTCAGCCTGGTTGTGAGTAGCTTGATATTTGAGCTTTACAGCTGGAAACCTTCTTAATTTTCATATATTGCACTGGGTGTGTATATATAACTTGCTTTTTTGAGTATTAATTAGAGACTTGCAACATCAAGGTCATGCCTTATTTCAGTCGGTAGAAAAAGGGGCCGTGGTTGCTGCTGCTTTCAAAGGGATCACGTGCAGTTTGTGTCTTTTGACAGTCACAGCCTGTCTGAAGAAGAAATTCAGAAAGCCAATAGGAGTGGCAAATGGCTAGTGTCCATAAATTATCCTGCAGTCTCCACTTGTGAAGGAAGGTGATATGTCTGGGAGATATATTCCTTTTAAATATCTATTATAGTTATATATATTTTTTATTTTCTAGAGGAGCTTCTTTATTGTCCTGCTGAGGCTTCAGTCCAACTCTGTAAGTATGCTTCCGTCTGCAGAAAGGCTTACTTCTCTTAATTTGCACTGCATTGTCAGTACCAAAATATCACTAAGGAGGGAAGTAGTGCTATGGCAGTGAGTTATAGTAGAAGCCCTATACAATTAACAGGAAAAGGTTGTGTTTTTTTCTTCATCTGATTTTTCTTCATTTTTTCAAAATCTGACAACTAGATGTATTCTGAAGAAATACAGCATAAGAGATGAAAACATAGCTGTGTCATACATAACTGCTACTCCTGAAGCACAGAGAGAAGTAGTGTTTTGTTACTTCTGTTAATTTAGATACTTAAAAAAATATTTTATTAAAAATAAAATTAATATATTGCCTCTTGAAGTAGATGCAGAAGGTTTCCTATGGAGAAATCCCTCAGTTTCCTGTGGGGACTGACTCAAGGTAACCAGAGAACATGAAAATTTATTAAACAATAAATTCATTGCATGCTTCCCTTAGTTCTGATGACCACTGCTGCTAAACTCCAACAGTTTCTGTATCAGTTCTACCAATCTCTAAGCCCACAAGCATGAGTAAGATTTCTTACAAGTTTCTGAGTTCAGTGTTGGAAAAAATCATATTGACAAATCAGACTTGCTCACTGTCATGAGTGCTGGTAATAGTGTTCGCCCCCTGAAGTAACAGGACACTCTAGAATGAATCACAGGCTTTTTTGGGATTCTGCTTTCCCCCAGATGCTTCGTGATTTAGTTGCTATAGTTGCCCTGAAGTAGCTGTGACAGAAGTTCAGACTGATGGCCACAGAGAACTTTAATATTCCAACATAACTGAGGCCATGAACTTTTTAAAAATGTAAGAATGTCTTCATACTTTTGCTAATCTAGGTGTTGGAAGCTGTTCAACAGTCTTCTAGCACCATTACCTTAGTTCTAGTCAAACTCAAATATGGCACTTGCCTGTCAGGATTCATGTAAGGATGTAAACTCATTTGATCTGAGATAGAGGATGGAAAAGGTGTGGTCTCAGGCATTTTAGAGTTGTTGCTCAACATCTCATGTGGCTGCTGACATTTGTCAACAGTTTTGGTTTGACCCTGGCATAAGATAGAAGTATTCAATGTGTCTGCAGAATTTTCTTTTCTCTCTGAGTGTAACAGACCAACTAATTTGCATCTAGTTGAATGCATAAAGATCACCTCTCATGACCCTATGTCTCTCTTGTGGCTGTGTAAGCATTTTCCCCCTGCCCTTTTTTTTTTCCCTCTTCCTCCATGTTTTTTTACCCATTGTGGTGTTTTTGGCAGAACTCAGAACAACAGATTTCAGTGCAGACTCTTTCGTTTTGTCACTCCTTTCTATTGGTCATTACTGGGATGAGCAGCAGTTACAGGAAACTGCTTGTTATGGATTTGATATTTGTATGCTCAATGAGCAAGTTAAGTGCAACTGTAAGCAGACTAATAGAGAGCATGAATGCTTGGCTGACAAATGCAGGTGTCTCTCTACTAATTATCATGCCCAGAATTAGATTTTTGCTTTTGCAAAATCTCAAGAGGCATTTGCAAATTCAAAACTTAAAACTGTTGTTTCTCTACTCAACACCTGTACTGTTCACAGGGTTTGATGGGGGGACATGGAGGGGAATGCAATTTTAACACTAAACAAATTGGGCTATGAACACAACCATTTTAGATATGTGGGAGCATTTGGAAATTTCTTCATGGACAAACTTCTATATACTTGAAAAAGCCCAAATGTTATTTGACTGAGTCTCTTTGTGAACGATCTCTCAAAATTCAGGGAAACTTCCAAAACCTAATAATTATTTTGAGACAAAGTGTTTTTATCTCCACGTGCCTTAAACAAAGCATAGTAGCCATCACTGACACTTCTGTTTTCTGCACTGTTCTTCTTCCTTGTTGACAGGAAAGTGCAGTTTACTGACAGTTGGTACAACAATGTAATATTGGCAAAAACAATCAATGTTCCTTTTACACAAGACATAAATACCATAGTGATGGTACAGTTCAATGGTTGCTCCTAACAAATATCTAGGTATCAGTTAAAATGAGTCTTGACCTTCAGTGCAATCCATACGTTCAATTAATTCTTTTTAATTGCTTATGCAAGTTTAGAGGGTGAAAGTGTGAGCAGCATAACCACGGGTGACTCGTTCTCTATTGACCAAGTGACATGGGATTGTGTGTGTATATCTTTGTGAAAATAAAGGCTGCAGAAAGAACTTAAAACCAAATTAATTGAGCTAATATTTTTCTCATTCTGTTAAAGATGTGGTTCATGAATCAACCATCACAATCCTCATGACTTCTGATAATTAGGACAAACCATACATAATAGGTGTTCTGTTACATTTAGATACCTAATGACCTGGAAAAGGATTCAATGGGTCAAAGGAGTAGTGAAGTTTAAAGGACTTCTGTGGCAGGAGAGAGAGGAGATTTTCAGTCAAGGCCATGGAAACAGCCAGGATGCGTTCAAAAGCTGAGTCAAAAGCACTTTTGGAAAACAGGAGGAAAAGTTTAACTCTCTTTGACTTTCATCATTAATGCTTGAAAATATTTTTTCTGTAGTAGATTTGTATAATATTTAATTTCCTTACATTATAAATATTTATTATGTAAACAATTACATACCACATAAAATCAGGACATATGCACTGAACTGGTGATAAATGATTTGTCTTCCTCCTTTTGGGTGATTTCCCTGCAAAGAAATAAAGTGCAATAATCTTATACCACATAAATGTCAGTGGGAATGTGTTAGGTGTGTAAGGACTACAAAAATTGAAAGAATACTTTCAGAGTGAAATCTTTACCCAACAAATTAATCTGCAAATATAGTTACATTTGCTGTAACTAAAATGTGTGAAGGCATCTTATTTGAAAGATACCCACAGCATCAAGAGGCTTCATTGAACTTTCAGAAACAGAGGAATGCTGATATTAGGTTTCATGTCTTGTTCTGCTCCATTAGCCTTAGTAAGCTACTTTGTATGGCACTACTTGTGTCAACCACTTCAGTATAGATATGATATTAAAACAACAACACCCTAAGTGCTTTGAGCAGTCATCCTTATCATGAGAAGATCTGTTAACTATCCTGTGAAATGAACTTGTTGGAATAAAAAGCCTGGAATAGGGAATGAATTAGTTGCCTGCCATCAACCCTCCTTTGACAGTGTGCTCAGATTGAATTCTACTCTAGCAAAGTGTGATAGAAATATGCAACTTGCTTGTGTAAAAGTGTTCACAGCTCCTCTCCTCTGCAAGCAACTCTGCTGGGGATGAACAGAGCAACGATCCTTCAAACATCTTTTTTCTTCTAAGGTATCTCCTATGTTCATCTCTAAAACATTTAAATAAAAAAATAAAAAAAAGTAGTGAATTTAAAAATAACAAGAAACAAACCCTTTTTTTTTTTTTTTTCATATCAGGAAGTCATTACCTGGCAAAAATGGGGGTGTTGCATTCCTACTGTTAAGACCTTTAAAAATGTTTTACTGCTAGATGAATGAGCTGGGCCAGGTACCAGCAGATACATCCTGTCATTTCTATGCTCTCCAGGAGCGGCTATCTTGCAGTAAGAGAGCCATTTGCTGTGACATGTCTGCTTTTAGCTTTCATGGCTTCCTTTCTATTCATCCTGTGGCTGGGTAAAGATTTCCATATACCGCCCTGATCTGCCTGGGGAAGGAGCAGCTTGTCAGCTCCGCTGCTTCCCACCTCACTGTGGAGTGCACTGTCTGGTATTTTTATAAACACAGAAAACAGAGCTAGGACACTCCCTTGTTCCAACTTGTCTTGCTGTCAGGCTGTCAAAGGGAGTTTTAAAATATCCTGTCAGTTAATCTCATTGAAACTCCTAGTGAAGGTTCAGCTAACTCTGTCCTTGAAGCTCTGTTAGTTCATTCATTCACTTCTGATTTGAAGATAGATTAGTAGAAGTGGCAGTGGCAAATTGCCATCCTATCACTGTAACACAAAAGGCAAAATTGGACGAAGGCCCATATACTGCAAGCTAGATAACCTTTTGCTGGAGAACAAACCAGGATCCTTTAAATTAATATTTTGACCCTTAAAATCTATGTACCATATTAATAAGGTGATTTCATTGCTACCTATCCCCCATCAGCCTGGTCTGAAGTTGATTACTCGGCACCTATTTGACAAGCAGGAACTGAACAGGGAGACTTTCCATATATAATATTGGCAAGAAAGATGAAACTGGTGAAGCATTCAGGCTGCTAATCCAATACTTACTCATTGCAAGATTCATCTGTTTTGGTTTCAGAGACCCTGGTTTCCTGTGGATAGTGTTAAATTTAGCATTCAGCTCAATTCCATTTCCATTCACCTTCAGACCCCGGCGAAATATCAATGCCTGCCTACAGGTTCATTTGACAGCATGAAAGAGCAAACTGATCCATTTTCAGAGTAAGTATTTTAATTTTGGATTGCTAATAATCATAGCACAATCATGACATGGTGATGTGAATGTGCTGGTGGTCTCAGCAAGCCACAGAACCCATCAGTGTTTTATGCGTTTACCAGAGTGCTAACCTGTAATTTCCGCACAAATTTCCTGCTCCCTTCTTAGAATAGGATTTCAAAGAAGACAGGTACTCATAGTTAGAAACAATCTTGGCAGTGATTAAGGGAGGGCAGTTAGGCAGGGAAGGCTATTTCGGTCTGAGTCTTAGACCAAAGAGGATTGTTGCAAGTCCATTATTGCTACCTTTCAGCCAGCTTGAGAATGCAATGCTCTCACTTGGACTATATCAGGGTTCATTCATGCTTGTGAGCAACAGGGACTTGGTTTGCAGAGTAACTTGAATGAAATGAGGCATTTTACAACAGAGATTCGTGACAGTCCTTTCTGAAATGAATAGAATGGCTGATGACTCTCAGAGCTGCAATTGGTGAGACACAGTGTGTTTTAGCTAATGTAATGGTGGGTTATGCCTTTGTTTTCTGGTACAAAATCTCATCACACTGAAATATTTCGTCAAGAAGTACTTAACAAGTATCACAAACACTGTTTAATCTCCCCAGCCTCCCGAAGAAACTTGTATTTTTTATGGCTGTAGAGACTGGCAACTGAGCTGGCTGATATACATAGATGGTTTTTGGCTAACAGGAGAAAATTGCTTATTGACTATTCTTCAGTAGCTTTTCCCCAGCAGAAGCCAAGACTTTGACACTTTCTGTGAGTGTAATATGTATTTACAAAAGAAAAAATTGTTAGCTAGTCCTCAGCAATTGGCTTTTATAGTGTTTAATACATTCTCTAACCCCAAGCCAATATCAAAGCATTTCTCAAGAGCGTTAAATCTTGTTATGTTGCAAGCAATTGCATAAGTGCACCCTTCAAATCATGGCATCTGTTGCCATTTGTTTATATGTGCCTGTGCATCTGTGGCAACCAAGAGGCAAAAGTGTCTCCTGAGGGCTATCTGGCAATGCACTGTCATGGACATGTACAAACACAGTGCCCTCTCTGTGCATTTCCTCATGGCATTAGACACAACCCCCAAGTAGGAAGAGTGAAGACACTTCTGCCAGGAAAAAATCAGTTTTGTTTTCTTTTGTTTTGTTTTTGACATCATGTGTACTCTTCTGTTAGTACAGAAGTACTTCTGCTAGTATTGTCTTCATAGGTAACTTTATACTACTTCTGTAAAACTTAGTAAGCTTGGTTTCTAAAGACTCCAAATTCCGCTGTGCCACAAGTCTGAGTTACAGTTTACTTCCATATAATTCCTGCATGTAGCATCTCTGTTCATGCATTTGATATCATGTTTGTAGCCAGTAAAGCAAAGCAAGAACGAATACAATGTGGTAGGTTGTATAGGGACTGCCTTGATGTATGGAGAGGCCAAACCATATCCTGTTGGAGAAAACTGTATTTCAGTGAGAACCTCTTTCTCCACCTGGAACTTGAGATTAATAGTACTGATCTCTTTTGTGAAGTCCTTTAAAACCTACTAATGAAAGAAATGGGAAAATACGTAGGCTGCTATAAAACTTGGGAGTGAAATTATGCCTCAAATTGAAGTGTTTCTTTTGCCTTACTTTCCTGACTATAAAAGTTCTGTTGAGGCATAAGCATCTTTAAAGGAAGAGATATGATAGATCATTAATTGCAAAATTAAATTTCACTGTTCCAAACTTATTTTTCCATTTTCTCAAGCACCTAGTAAACACACAAAATGTGTTCTTGAACAAATGAGTTCTTGGAAATTTTCACGTTGCAGCCAATGTACTTGTACTTTATTTCAGAATGGAACAGCAAATTGCATCTCCCCAGGCCAAAAAACAGCAGGAAAAAACCTTCAATTGTTTGGGGTTTTTTTTCATGATGTAATACCCCTAAATATTTTTAACATTTTTATGTTGTTTCAGAATAAAGATACTTGATCTGTCTGTATATTTGTGGGGTTTTTTTCTTGTTGTGGGTTTTCTGCTTGTGTTTTTTTTTGTTGTTGTTGTTGTTTTTGGTTTTTTGGTGTTTTTTTCTAAGCATAGGTGAATTGAAGTAAAATAATTATATATCAGTACACAGTAATTGGAGTTTTAAATACTGTGGAGTCACAAATGAGTGATATGAAAGGGAAGTCATCCTGTTTCCATCAGAAATTCTGGCTGACCTAAGCCCTTATTTTTTTAGTGATGTTAAAAATGAAGTCTACTCTTAGTGTTATTTGTGCAAATTGTGTCTGATGAAATCAAATGCCATTAAACAGTGTTTTAGCAAGTATAGCTGCAGAGGAATTTAGCTAGATAGTTGGGAGTTGAGAATCTTGTCTACTAGAACATGTTTATAATAAGTCTTTCATCAGTGCTTTTATAAAGCCATAGCAAACAAGGTAAGTGTGACATAGAAAATCACAGCCACTTCAGATTGTTGATGATGTCAGATGTAGGAGCTCTGAACAAGAGTAAACCTGAAGTGCCTGTGAATGTTTAAGAAACCAACAAATTGACCTGAAAGTGTTGCTTCTAAGTAGCATTTAAATACATTAGACTTAAATTTATTGTGTTGCAAATAAAAACATTCAAGTAGATTTTGCAGTTGCTCAGGTAGGATCTATGGTATGAAACATTCAGTTATTCAAAGGAAGACCAGAACTTGGATGAGGAGGGTGACACTGCCTATGGGAAAGGCAGCAAAATGGAAATCTACTGTGGATATGTATTCGGGGCTAATTAAAGGTTAATTCATGTTAAGATAGATGGATGACTTGGTTTACTTTTGTAAAAGTAAAGCTGTACAAATGCTTACTTAGACCTTATTGCAACATTAGGGTTTTGGGTAGTGTTGCTGATCTGTTTTTCCTTTTCTAGGTAATTATTATGCTAAGAATAAGTCTTAATCCCTTTGCTAGGAAAATTCGATCTGCAAGTTATATTTGGAAGATATGTAAATTCCGATCACCTTAATGAAACTTGTTTAGCTCAGTTCAGTCTTTCTGCATTCTACCAGGCTCCATTCTAGTACAGTATTTTGATACATAGTGGCTAAAACCCCCACCTCTGATAAATCAGGTTCAAAAGATTGCCTCAGCTAACCACGGTCTGAAGTAAACTTTAATCACCCAATGCCTGATAAAACTTCACAGTATGCTGGAAAGTTTTTCTTTGAATTTTCATGTTATTACTTAGTAAAGTGCTCAATTCTCTTTACTGCTAAGCACTGGTAATAGTACAAGACTTGAAGCTAAGAAATTGGTCCAATTATTTTTGGAGCATTCTGAGTCCATTATAAATAGAGGATATAAGATTGTTAGATTCATTATAGCATAATATCTTTTCCCATCAGAAGCACTGGAAAATGGGATAGTTCTGGCAGCGCGCATCTTGTACTGAGGAACTGTCAGGATATAGAAAAAGATTGTTTGGGAGATGGTACCTAATTTTAAAAAATGCAATATTTTTCCCCTAGGCACTTGTAATAGTATCTTCCTGATCCAGATTCTTTTTTTTCTTAACCATTTTAGTTCCCTTTTTCCTTCTCTGCTTTGGTGTTTTCTTAATGTGCTGCTTTAGATAGAGTACACAGTCATAAACAAGTTGCTGTTTTTAAAGTACTTTTACTATATAAGTTTCCAAAAGTGATGAAATTTTTGACACTACCCCAAATCCTCTCCCTACCTCACAGGTCTTGCATGCTAGATTTTTTCTTTGTTTTGCTTTTGTTTGTTTGTTTTCATTTTGTATTGTTTGGAGCTTTAGGGGAGGTTGGAGAAGGGGTGGAATTTCATTAAGCACACTCTTCAGATGAGACAGGGAAAGAGAGAGAATCATACAACATTGTTCATTCAGTAAAATGGGATCTGGATGTTCTAATGCATTTTGAATCATTAATTAACAGTAATTTGATGAGGACTAGTTACCATAAAGAGACTTTAGGATTTTCTTATTTATCTTTTCTTTGGGAGGTATCTTTTTAAGCATATTAGCAAACACTGAATTCTAGTAGACATACCTAATTGTCCCAATTATTTGGTCCCATACTAGCCTATGACCATCATTACATTAACAAAAGCATAATCAATTTTGATCAGTAGCTCTGTAGGACAACTCTATAAGATAACATATTCTCATGCCCATTCAGTCAATAGCAGCATAAAGACAGTGGTGTAAAGATAATGGCATCATAAAGATAGTGATAACTGTGTTGTGTGGGAGACCCTGCAGAGGTATATCTTGTCTTAAACTAGGTTTCTACATGTTTAGTTCATGATGTCATGACTCTTGGGTTAGTTGTCTGGATTTTGGTTGTCTTATTAGGTGGAACTTTCTATTCAAATGTGAACAGCTAGGTTGGGCTACAATGCTACTCTTAATAATTATTCTTAAGTTTCTGTCATGGAAACAGTTAATTATTCAAAAACGAAATTTCACTGAAGAAATTCAGATATCGTATTTTATTTACTAACCTTAATTTTCATAACTCTGGGTTTTTTTGTGTTTAAATAGTAAATAGGAAAAAATGAGAAACCAGAGTTTGAGAACCAACAATGATAATGCAAGATCATCTTTGCTACCTTATTTTTACTCTGTTGGGAGTAATCTGTTCAGTTATCAACATTAGGGTGTCTGTGACCTGCCATGAAAGTAAAATTGATACTGCTGATAGGACACTGTGCTTCAGAGATAGAGACAAGCACAGCTGGGTGCTGAGCAGCTATTGGTCTGCTTTTGTGACCTGAGCTAAAAATTCTGCTCCTTGCTGTGCTGTGTCCTACAGACATACTAACTTGCTCCCAGGGTACCCCTGAAGACAAGGTTTTGTGGTGCAGCAAAATTAATCCAGCGTCTAACTAACTGCAATTAAAAAAAAAGAAAAAAGGTAGTTTCTT